TCGAGCTGATTGTGATTCTTGTCAAGAAGCATTAGGGCTGAAACGTAGACATAAGAAGATACCTGAAGATGCTAAGAGTACTGCCGTACTCAGCTTAGACTTGACAGGACCTCACCTTCGAGCTTTTGAAACGGAAGCGCACAATGCTCTGATTGCTGCTGCAACATTTGAACAAGGGTCGAACCTTGTACATGGCGTGCCGATAGTCGACAAAACCTCGGCGATGACATTGCAAGCCACTCGGCATGTGCTCGGTGTGGTGCGTTCGTTGTTCGGCGGAAAGCTCCCCATTGCACAGTTCACTCGGACTGCGGAGGTGAGTTTTTGTCAAGCATGCAATGTCGGAGCTAGGTTTGCTCCAGACTACCTTGCAGACGGGAGATAAGGAGCAAAATGGGAGGGCAGAGAGATACGTCGGCCTGGTAAAGTGGAAAACCATTGCGATGTTGCAGGAAGGTCGGCTTCCCGTCACCATGTGGGCTCACATTCTTCCGCACGCATGTTTCCTGTTGCGCCAAAGTGCCCTTGGAAGAGCTGTTCCTTCGAAATTGCCTGCTCCAGGGGACTGTGTGGTCCTTCCGAGCAAGCAGTCCGAGAAGGCGGTGACTTTCTGGCCAAAGTTAGTATGGGGTTTTCATAGGTGTCGATGAAACACTTCCTGAAGGAGCAGTAGTTGCAGTGCGAAAAGGGTAAGTTTCAAGTTTGGTGAGAGTTGGAGGTCCACACAAGTGGAAATCAGCGGGCTTGAAGCGTTGGCGCATGAACAACCATCCCACGCAATCCGAGAAGGTTGTGTGGGTCCAGTGTTGGAGATGTAGTGTGGACATCACCGCACACCAGCACGACGCGTTCGTTTGAACAGAGAAGGCCCTCACAAGGTCCACATGATGTTGAGTATAATGAGCCCACTGATTCACAGCTCAGGCGCCTCTTTTTCTCACGCAGCTCTTTGCAGTAGTCTGCAGGATCCTAGATCATTGGACAAAGGTGGGTCCACTGCAGACCCAGCGAACACCTGACATTCATCAGATGTCCCCTGGTTAACCCTATCAACTAAGCTCACGCCACTCGTCTCCACGAGAAACCTCTTTGGGAGTGTCGGGTGGGAAAGAGCAAAGGAGCGAATCAGCCTGCATCCAAGCCACTATGGCTGCGGTGATGCAGGTTTCATTATGAATGCACAGAGACCCTTCCCATCCATCCAACCTTCTGTGCACTGTCATGTGCGTCGCAGCATTCATGGGTACACTGCGCAGCAACATTACTCACTGTACATGCACTCACATGAAACTCCAGATGAAGTGGATGATGAGAGCACTCATCCTGGACTGGAGCGCTCGTGGCTTCAAGTGGCTGCTCATCATGGCTTCAAGTGGCTGCTCATCACGCCAACCTTGTGCGTGAAGTGAGGCCGCCTGATGTGTGGGTGAAAGTTGGACACGTGCTGATTCGTAGACATCTCACTCCCTGGGTCGGCATGTACGAAACGGTTGAAGACGAGGTTTGAAAACAACCAGGTACAAACCTATGTCACGATCATGTTGACAGAGGGTGCCGGAAAATCGTTCATCATTGATCGTTGGACGGATGGGCAATCTGGGCGCGCGTTGTTGCCAGACAAGCGGACATGGAGGGGAGTCACGTTGTCTGGAATTCTCAACCCCTCTGGGGCTGACGAGGTGCCCGAAGGTGCTGCGACGATTGCTGCAGCAAAAACCCGTGAGCATGTTGCTGGTATTGGTTGCCAGAACCAGCGGCGGAATCAGAGATGCATCGGAGGAAGCAGTCGCCGAAAATCTGGAAACGGATGAGCTGGTTAACCTATCAGTAGGCGCCAGGGAGGTTCAGCAGGCGACCGAGCCTGAACGATCAGCTAGATGGGGGGCATTCAGGGAGATCTGGAGGAAGTTTTTGAAAGGATCACGCAGGAGGAGAATGAGTCTCGCAAAGTCCGGGACCCTAGACTTGCAAGACCTCTCCCTGCGAAGTTGGTCCTAGTCAAGAAACCCAATCCTGAAAGTCCGGATCTTGAAAACCTTTATACACATAAGGCACGGATCGTAGTCTGTGGCAACATCAGTCAGAAACATTTGAGCAATCGCGCCGAAGTTCCAGATGCATTCTTTACACGGTGTGTGCTTGTGCTTACGATGATCCTTAGCTCCAGCCTTTCAGTTCTTGACGTTAATGCAGATGCAGCATTTCTTTATGCAGAACTTCCTGAGGCTGAACCCACAGTGTTGGTGGCACCCTCTGGCATCTTGAAAAGGTTGGTTGGGATACGCGGGAAAAAACAGAACTGTGGCTGCTCAGACGAGCGCTCTACGGATTACGCGTTTCGCCAAGAGGTTGGACGGAAACCAGGAAGGACACCATTCGTGGAGTTGAGGTAGAACTCCCGTGTGGAGAGACGGCGGTATTTCATCCAGCAGATGCTCAGGAGCGTGTTTGGGTGCGGTTTGTACTCAGGGAATCTCAGGGAGGTATTGTCGGATAGCTGCTGTTCTACGTGGATGATATCCTTCTGGCAGCTTCGCTGCGCAATCTCTTAGCAATCCGGACCATGGTTTCAGTGAATCGGAAGGTCAAAGATCAAGGAATCTTGGTAGACCCTGCCGACAAGCCTGTGAAGGATGAGGTGGAGAGATCCCATAATGCTCAAAAGGAGTTGGGATGTTGGGGTATGCGAAAAGGTTTCACTGGCGATGGCGACCTGGAATGTCATCAAATACTGTACGTCAAGAGTTGTTTGAAGGAGCGAGGATTCAGTGACTTGTCATTGCCGAACATCTAAGAGGGAATGGAACCAGAGTTTGATCATAGGAGTTGTGATGAGTATCGAGGTTTGCTGCGAAAGGGACAGCAGGAAATCGGCAGCCTGTTATTGGCATCACAACGGACAAGGCCGGATATTGCTGCAGTTACTGGGGTCTTGGGATCGATGCTGGTGGCACATCCACGAAAAGTAAAGAGTGTAGCCATCAAGCCTGGCGATACTTGGCTGCGACTCTTGAACACAAGGTGGTGTTTGACAGGAGCTCAAACCAAGCAATACGGATGCTTGAACTAAGCTGTCGGGAACAAAAGCAGAATTGGAGTGGTCGCTATGCTGAATGGGTATCTTGTTCAGTGGAGCAGCATCAGGCGATCCCTGGCAGCGCAGTCTGCTGTCGAAGCAGAGATACAGGCTGCTGGTCTCGGATGCACACATGCAGTGGCCATTTTAAATTTGGTAAAGTGTTTGATTGAGGGGACGTTGACAGTGGAACTCCCTCTGACAACACGGGGTGCATTGCAAACACTATTCACACTGCGACAACATGGCGCAATCGCCATTCTTGCGTACGAGCAGCTGCTTTGAGAGATCAGCTCACCGAACATGAGATAGTTTTCAAGTACAGGTCCGGTAAGTTGATTCTAGCAGACGCGCTCACCAAAGTTCTTGGAAGGCAAGCCTTAGAGTTGGCTAGAGCCGCGTTGGGAATCCGTTTGTCAGCGAATGCCTCCTGAGGAGGAGTCTTCCATCATGTCTTACTTGACTTATGTGTTTGAGAGGCAGGGACCATTCGACTGAGAAGATTAGCATGCGATTCCTCGCATGGATGACACGCACTATCGAAGTGCAGAGTGCACGAAATCGAGAAGTGTACAGTGGGGGGAAATGTGCTTGGCTCAAGAAAAGATCGTGCAATGAGTGGCTGATGGAACTATCCGACGACAGCAATGATCAAAGCGTGTGAATCAACACGGTTGGAGTAGATCATCGATGCGTTCATTGCAAGGTACAAATTCGGATCTCTCGACAAGTGAGGCAGACGAAGCGATCAGTTTTCGAGGATAATTTGGACTCGGCGACTGATTTCCAAAGCGCGCTTCGAAACGAGGTGATGCAACACCCAAACATATTGGGAGGAGGCTCTTCTGCCTTACTGCAGCCAGGATGTTTTCCTCGAGCGCATCTCCGCCCTCGGCGACTTGCAGGCTGCTGTTCCATGCGTCAACCCGCGCCAACTACCTCCTAGGTATGCCGCCACCGCACTGCACGGCCGAATAGTCCTGCGAGCATCAACGCGCCGTTGCCTCGTGTCTTGGCACTCTGATGGGGAGGAAGCGCTCGAGCCTGGATGATGCCCTCGCCACTGCGCGGATTCCGTATGGGGGGATTGGGCCTACGTTCTGCAGCCTCCGGCACACCTGCCGCTCGCTTGGGCTTCGCGGCCGGATGCTTTCCCTGTTTCTCCAGCTTCTCGGCCGACCCGGCGCACGAGCTTGCCTACCCTCCCCGCCGCCTGCACGGCCGAAACACGAGTGCGCGAGGCTGGCTTCCAAGGGTGGCCGGGCTGCACCTGCCGCGCCGTGCCTGCGCACGGGGACTGTGACCAGCACGCGTTTGAGATACACCTTTCTCACCTCAAACCGGTGTCCCGAGTGTTGCTGCTCTCGCAAGCCGACTCGGGCCGTGCTGTCACCGTCTGCCTACGTAAGCTACTATCGCATTTCCGTGTGCTCCACGCAACGATCGATCGTGCCGTCGCCCGCGTCTGCCGGGAAGGCGGCTCGCAAACAGCACGCAACGTCAGGGTCGCTGACTTGAGGTCGTCGCAAACCGCCCCTTTGGCATGAGGTGCAGCTGGCGCTCGACAGCACCATCGTCAGTCCGTTGACACTGGGGCGGGGCATGGCGGCGCGTGTCGCAGCCGGGCGCCGACACCCGCCCTGGCACAGCAGTCCAGGCCGCCGCCCGCCGCAAGCGGCACCAAACCTACCCCGAGCTTGCGAGCGCGCGACATCGCGCGACGGGCATGTCTCGTCGTTGTTGGGGTCGAGGTGGGCGGGCGCTTTGGTGCCGAAGCCGCCTCCTTCCTCCGCCACGAGCAAGTGCGAACATGCCGTGCTGGCGAGCTGCCGACGCATGCTTAGCTACTTGGAACCTGTGAAAATCCGGTACCGACTTGTCAAGTTGTATTATGGGCAATTTAGGATGACAGCCCACGGCGCTTTCATTTTCGACCATGAGAGTCGATCCGCAGCTTCTCACCTCCCATCACCTCCCCGCACCTGCATTGCAATGGCGATGTATCACGACAACTGTAATCTGCTGACTCTGACCTGTGATGCATCTTGCATCACTCCACTACATGGACCTCACATCTTCCACAAAGCCCCTGCGGCACCTTCCTTTCAGTCACTTGTGAAATGCTCTTGACGTTGTGTTGTTCTGCTAGAGTCTCGTCTTCCTGAGGCCCTGTGGCCGAAACATCCATCTCCGAATGTAATTTACATGTGTTCCGTCTCCTTGCCTCCACCGCAGCGGCAGGTCAACTGACCTTGTCCAGCATACCTGCCGCAGCCGAGCTGCAACGAGTCGAAGTGTGGCGAAACGGTCGCGGGGCTCAGGGCTCACTTTTTATTTGGACGCTCGATGCTTTGAGGACTCCCGCAGCCAGGGACATCACTGTGAATGCCTGGACTCAAACCATATCTGCCGTCTCAGAGCCAGCATCAGTTGTTCTTCCGCTGAGGTCCAGTCGCCACCGGTGATTGCGAAGATCTGTGTGATGTAGTCGTACCTTCTCGCTTGCATTACAGAGGGTGATTCGGAACCGCGGAAACAATAAGCTCATGGTTCGCCAATTGCCCCCTATCTGTGCAATGGGCCATCTGCGGTCGGCTTTACCGATAACCACCTGCATTCTTGAACGCAAGTTCAGCACAAGTCATGAAGCGTGGCTCTGCCTCCACAGGTGAGAGATCGAAGGAGAACTTCGCCTTGGGACGCAAACGCGATGCTTTTCTTTTCCCTGTCCTCCAAGCCTGGCACGCGGCCTGGGGAGTTGTTCCCCGCTGCAATGTTCGCACACTCCTCAGTCACCGCACAGACGCCGTCTCATACACTCTGGTTCTGGGTTGCAAAGTGAACACGATCGGGCTGCCCTGCAAGAGAACAGATGCTAGGACTGCTGCCACTGGTGGGTCTGTTGGTAGCTGCGAAGGTCCGAGTCTTCGAACCGTGTGTGCACCACCTCTTCAGACATCGGTGGTGCTTTCAAATTAAAGCAAGCCAGCAGCGGCCTTGATGAAATGACTCGGGGCCTTGTGAAATTTGTCCTCAGACTGCTGGCATCAGGGCTGGAATACTGCCAAGCGACGAGTGAGGATGGAACCACCACGAAGGTCTGTCCGTCGAGCGGATTAACGTGCGATCGGTACCTTGTATCGGGCCACACCCGAAATCCCAAACAATCGATGATCGCAGCCCGTTGGCTAAAGACGGTGCTGCGAAGGCAAGGATGCCTTCAATCCTCGAGGGGCCTTCGCAACTCTTCCATGGATCTGCCAACAGTGCAAGTGCAAGCCGCGCCTCTCCGAAACTGAAGTGATGCACGGTGTGTGACACCTGGAGGCACACGAGAAGCTTCTTCGGGGGCAGTTGCTACAGCTAAGGGCCAAGGGGCGTTCGTGAAGGCGGGATTGATGTCCCGCTCCTTCGATTGCCCCACCTGCCCGCAAGGCCCCGCAAGCCACAAGGCGCCCTGGCCACCTAAGCCGCGCCGCGCCTGGAAGTGGACAGTGCCAGGAACCCGCGCCTGCTCAGCGAGTTTGGAAACGCAACCGGCAGCAGCGGCATCTCGCGTGCATGTCTCTCCTCCTATTCCTTTGAAGGTCCCAATTAAAATCTGCTTGCACTGCAAGTTGCCACGTTCACGGATCCAGCGACACGACAGCCCTCGGCAAAGATGCTGTGATACCTTGCCGGCGTCATGTTCAGCTTCTGCACAGTCAAGAGTCAAGAAGGGTGCTGGAGCGCACGTGGCACCAGTGTGAAGGTGACGTTTTGCAACGATCGATTGCATCCATCCTTGACCCCAAGCGTTATGATTTTGCACAACATCGGCTTGAACTGAGCTGTGGGACTAGTCATCCCATCCGCGTTGCGCTCGCCGGTGTACCTCTGCACTGGAAACGTCGCACATCATGTCCCAGCACTCAAGCAATATCAGCAGCCGACTCGTCAAACTCACCTTTCTTGGCACCCCTGCGGTACCTTTGTAAGACTGTGTGCATCTGCAGCAGGGTTACCAACAGGACATTCTCGCCATACAGAGCAAAGACACAAGCGGACTGCCGGAAAACCACGAATCATCTGCTCCTTGCAAGTGTCCTGCCCAACAGGGCCAGCCGATATGCGGGTAGCTCGCAGGTGTTATCAATGCTCTGTTTCCCGGCCTGGAAATCCACACAATTCAGCCGCAGGAGGTCTCAGTCAGACTGCAGGCTGGAAGTTTCAACGGTACCCAGAGAATGAAGACAAAGGACGAACGCTCGCCGGTTGGCCGTCAGCATCATTGGCCGTGATTTTGCGCCTTGGCTCCAGCTTATAAGGCATAGCAGTTGTGAAGAAAGTCTGAGTTGCCTGCTCGTTTACGGATTTCTCGAAATCGAACCATGTCGGAGCGAAATTCCGGCAGTGGCTGCACCTTTTCAGGACTCTCGCCGGAGAGCCCAGAAACAGTCTAATGCACTTGCGCCACCAGTCGGCATAGAAGTTGATCATGGTGAAGTCGTGGGCATCAATGACAGCTTGGAAATCATTGTGCCTTGGGCGCATGCCAAGGCTTTGCCATTTGCAGAACTGCAGGCTGCAGCATTTGCTTCCTTGCTGTCGTCTCAAACACCCACCCACCGCACCCCATCCCACCCCACCAGGTATGTGTGTCTGTATATATTATATAAGTGCAGATGTGACCCCACCCTAATTTATGCCACCCTTACGCTTTTAACACAGGAACGACGCTTTGGCATGGCCTTCTGGTCCGAGGCTTTGCGGGCTAAGCAACCACAAGACAAGACAACAACCGACGCTTTCCGATGATCCGGTCATTGCTGTAACCCACCAAAAACTACGAAATCGTTGCTGTGGGTGTTAAGGTTTGTGTGGCAACCCGTGTGATGACCGCCATGATCGCACTGGTGTCCATGAGAAGATCGAGTAGCTGTGCTAGCTGTTGAATTCATTGCCTGCTGGACGCTGTAGACGGATTTCTGGTAACTACAACTGTCTCAATAAATACATTGAGCACGTTCAATGCACAACTTTTTGCATCTGAAAAACAGCAGAAGCGGATCAACACAAAGTGCACACATTTCTCCGCATCGATTGTTTTGATGAAACCGATGCTTGACTTCCTGAAACTTCGAATGTTCGGAAATTTTGGGATTTGGCTGATAAGCAGGAACGCTTCCAAAGGTGCTTGCAATGCCTCAAGACACTTCAATTCTTGCATGTCTAAACGATTCGTTGCCAAACACACGAGGTGTTGTGACTTATCTCAAAAGTGAGTGGCGTGATTTGGCGTGACTCCGCGTTGTCATGATCATTGTCATGATCCTTCGCTAACTTTTTTCTCACGGCCAGAGCGAGAGTACAAAGTTGATGCGAAGCCTGAAGAGGTCCGTCCAGGCGCAGCAACTGCTCGGCAAGTTTGTGCAGCACGAGCCGCCCCCACCCGTCACATGGGAGGGTGAAAGCTTGAGAGGATACATGCGGCCGAAAAAAAATACCGCTCATCCTCAAATCTACACTACAACGCGAAGACAACCCATTTATTTTCTTTCTCATACTAGTAAGACATACGGAAGCACCTGCACACCTGTTGCTGCGCTGTAGGCAAAGGACAACGATCTGCAAAAGATTTGCTGTTCTTCTCTTAGGAACATTATGTAGTCCTCATGTCCACCACCAGCTTTGCATGGTGCTGTCTGCGATGGTCATCGGCATATTCCGTACCCATATTTCGCTGGCGGAAGGCTCAGTGTGTCCGCGGCACGCAGGGTCTTAAAGTGCTTGGTGCGACCGTGAATCGTTGATGTTCTTTCAGACACGTAGAGGTTTTCGGGTAGTGGTGGCTATTCAGTGGTGACGAACTTGTCATGCCCCTGCATGGCGCTACGTTGCAGTCCCCCCCGAAGCTCGAGAGAGATGCAACTTCCTGCAAGCTGTCGAAAACGAGGGTCACAAATGAAACAGGAGTGAGCCCCTCGACGAGAAGGGTAAGGGTACTCAGGCGAAGCAGGAATTTCAAGAAAAGTGAGCTGCTTAGGAAAGGGCTTGAAATTGTCACTGGATGATCCCCAATCGGAGTCTAGCTCTGCAAGCTCCTGACGGGGCCAGCGCTCTTAAAGACGTTTTCGCCCTGCTGCACCGCGAACCTCTGCAGTGAAGCTGCGATCACTGAATTCGAGCTCCAATAGCTCTTCCTGGGCGGCCAAGGCGTGCTCACCTCCCTGCGCCTGCGCTGCTGCAAAATGCCTCCTTGTATGGCTGTCCCTTTCGGGAGCCCTTGTGATCAACTCCTGGGCGGGCAGGTTCCATGCATTGCATACGCGAAAATGCAGGAAGGCACTGACAACTTAGTGCACCGCGCTGCTTCTGCACGTTCTTGGTGATGTTAAACCGTTCCGTTCCGAAGGCATCCCACACACCTGCGGGCAGCCCCACAAACAAATTCTGTAGATTCATTCAATCAAAGGAACTCTGTCGATATTCACATGCACGATCTGGGAAGACTATCCCTTATGCAGCTAGCAAGCGGCAATCTGCCTCTACGAAATCAACATCGCAATCATCTGGCAGGCATTTGACTTGGCATGTGTGCACGCAACAGTCATGCTGCCTTCAAGGCGCTAAGCCGCTGCCGGAGTAATGCTCGCACACGTTCATTCGCCAACTTGCCATCCACCGGCCTACTGTCAAGTGGCTACAGTCGACGTCCAGCATCGTCACATCGAAGTTGATGGTCAGCAACTCGTCCTGGCAAAGTTCGTGCGCAGTCAGTGTCGGGTCATCACCGTATTGACGGTGCCTGGTTGCTGTCAACAACCTTGTCACATTTTCCGAGCAGAATTCCGCTAACATAACAGACAGCGTAGCCAGATACGCCAGGCTCTGTTTCAAGCAAGCGACGATCCGAGAGGTCGGAGCATCCGTCAGAAAAGCAGATGTCTGGACACAGCCGCTGTATTGCTGTGATTGCGAACTGAGAGCAAACTTCCCTTACCTCGCAGCAGAAGAGAACGATACAGGTGATCATCGCCAGCAGGGTCATGCTGGCTCCGATTGTTGTGGCCTCAGAAGCTGCAAAGACACCCCGCACAGGCAGCCAAGCTGGCCCTGGCCTCAGAAAGATCCGCTGGTACCTCGCAAGGCCGAGCTACCGCGTCCACATGATGCAATGATAATACAATGTGTATCAATGTGCATCATGATATGACTGATCTGAAGCGTTGCAGCCTTTCGGAAGGCATCATAGCCATGATACCACGCCCTGATTTGCAGTATTGACAGTCTCATCCCTCACGGCTGAACTCTCTTTTGGTAGGTCATCGGGGCCGCAGCTTGCTCGCGATCTGCGGCAGCATGTCAATCAAAGGACGGCGTGTATCTGTCAGACAAAACCGGCACTGATGCGATGTGGAGATGCTGCATGCTGCCTTACCTGGAGGCTCTGTGAATGCAGAGCAATGCGGAGCATTCAGCTCTCCTTGGCGCCAGGGCGAAGCCCACTGACTCGCCGCTCCGCCCTGCTCCGCCCTGCTCCGCCCTCCAGGCCTGCCTCAGGCCGGGCGAGGGGCGCTGCAGCGCAGCTCCAAGCAGCTCGCTCTAGGCTCTAAAGCCAGCTCTCTGTCAGTACTCCTGCGTGGGGCCTGCTCAGACTTTGCGGCTGCCTTTCGCTTGGACATGCGTGTAGCACTGGCTGCCTCCCCTGTTCCCAGGAACTGGCACCTTGCATTTTGTCGTTCCATGCTCCTGGCTCATGAACTTGAACCATTGTCTCACACAATGGGACGGGTTCGCGGCTCGAGCTAGCTGCCCACGTATACATGTGCCAACAGTTTGACTCGACATACCCGAATTATTTCGGCGCAGCAGCAAATTTCACAAGTAGCCGTAGCCGCGGCAGGCTACGATACACAGGCAGCTCTTGTGCTCAGCCGATGAAAAACGTGCACTTCAAACGGCACGTACATTCCTCTGACCTCCAACGCCTCCAACATCATAGTCTTGAGTCTTGACACATAACTCACATGACCGCTTGGTGCACAAGACAGACCGTGGCCGCTGCCAGAGAGTCGTCGCGGTCAGTCTTCACCTCGTAGACTGCAACCCATCCAACATTTCATCGTCCATTCATGCCGGTTGCCCACTGGTGTCGGAGTCCGCGAGGTTCCACTCGAAGTTCCTGGCTCATACAGTACGCACTGTACACACTTACAACGCTCGAGTTTACTAAACGATGTAGTTCTGGGGTTCTGACGAGCGCTTCAGGTCAGCGAGCTTTAGACGGCTGCCCTCGCAGCGACTCAACGGTGACCTGTCTGCTAGTTTTGTGGTGATTCTGCGACCTGCAGCAGACTCATGTCCCTGTAGGGATGATGCCCTGCTGGCAGGCAGTCGTAGTTCTGCATGGCCTAAGGCATAGCAAACACCAGAAAAGCCACGCTGGCTCCATGTAGCAGGGCCTCGTCAAAACCTCATCGCAACAATACGCGACATCGGCAACTCTCTACTGGTAGTTCGGTGCCAGGCTCTGAAACCATGTGTGATCGTTAGCTTCGCTTGCTGTCAGCCTGCACCATCTAAGCATTCTCAACACACATTGCGCCAAAGATCCACCGGCAACTTTGCAATGATGGCACACTTGCCTTTGGCCCGCATTGACGCTCAACAATCCTCGTACTAAACTCCTGGCACCCAAAGGAGCCTGCAACATCACACTGCATGCTGCAACACATGCACTGGGAGCAGACATGACGAACCTGCCGCCAATGCTCACCACGAAACAAACACTCGCCATTTAGAACCTGGGTGACATGATAACGTACAAACAAGCCAACCTTGACACTCATGTGCATGCTCGTGTGTATGTGTCTGTGTGTTTGAGTGCGAGTGTGTGCGAGTGTGTGCTAGTGAGTGTGAGAGAGTGTGTGTGTGTGTGCGCGTGTGCGTGTGCGTGTGTCTGTCAGTGAGTGTGTGTCAGGGAGAGTGTGTGCGTGTGTGTGCGTGTGGGCGAATGAATGTATGAGTGAGTGAGCGAGGGAGAGTGAGTGAGTGTGTGAGGGAGGGAGTGAGTAAATGTGTGTGTGTGTGTGAGTGAGTGAGTGAGTGAGTGAGTGAGTGAGTGAGCGAGTGAGTGAGTGAGTGAGTGAGTGTTTGAGTGAGTGTGTGTGTGTGTGTGTCTCGCTCTCTCTGCGTCTCTTAGTCTCTGCGGCTGTGTCTCTGCGTCTCCGTGTCTCCATGCACGGGGCTGCAGCTTACACGCCGCACACTGACTCACACAAATGACTCACACAAATGTGACGTACTTACAAACACGCTTGCACAGCGGAGCTTCGACTATTGCATGTTTGCATCGGGTCTGAGACTTGAGCTGGATCCCGGTGCATGCTGCGCAGCATGGTGACGTCCGAAGTCTAAGCTGCAAGAAAGGCTGTGGAGCTTGCATCGGGCCCACCCGTTGCCTGGAAGGGAAGGTAGCCGGACACCAATAAGAAGATCACAACGCCGCTGCCTTTATTCGACACATTTCGACCCTCAAAACTCCTGCTGCTCCTTCACGTCACGTCAAGTGAGGCACGCACTCCACAGGTCACAAGACCTTCCATAGGTTCCCTCAAACACCTGGGACGGCAAGACAGCTGTGCGAGGGACAACCAGGATTTTCAAGTGGCCTCCGGGGCCGCATAGAGCAGTGTGCCCACGACGGTATGCGCCTCTGACCGTTGCTTTCAGGATCACCTAGATTTTTAAATCTTAGATTTACGGGTAGCATCATGAATGACTGGGTCAGTCGGTACCTTCAGCGTGTCGTCTGCGATCTTTGCCGCCCCAAAGTCCAAGAGCTGCACAATTCGACAAAGCACTCTGCAGATACATCCCTTTGATTTTCAGTCCCCTGTGTGCGTTATGCGCAGAGTCTGGGAGATCGAGTGTGTTGACATTCCTCAGCTTGACTTGTTTGCAACGGAGGGTGTCGGTTCGCAGAACAAAACAGTGCTGGCCAGTCCGTGACGGAGCTTGTCCACAGCAGGTTCTGGTGCTGGTAGCATTTGGCAACCATTTGCAGTCTGATACCTGCCCGGGCTGCTGGGCTCGCTGCACAATGCTGTAGAGCTGTCGTAGATGCATTGGTGTTTGGGTGAATTTCGCACATCTTGGTACAGGCTGCGCATCTTCTCGAGAAGACGAGACCTGGTGCCGTGTATATCAAAAACTTGGAGTGGACGTCACCGACCAGCGGGTTTTTGCGACCAAGGCCGGCAGTTTCAGTGAATTGACGTGAGAGGGCGGAAACCATGGCCGATCTAGCCCATTGCAGAACCGTGGTATGTTCCAGGCAGTTGTGACATGTTCTGACACTGGAACATTCCTTTTCACATGCCTGCTACAGCTGACACGCTGCAATAAGCCTTTGCCAATGAGAACGTGTTCCGGGAGCATCATTACACGCGTCACGCCTCCCACTAAACACAAACGACACCTCGTGGACCACAAAGATGAACGAAGGCCTGGGGCATCTCACTTGTGATTTTCCTTTGCGGTTCCTTTACTCAAAGCTGCCTCTGCATGAGACGTTCCTTCTCTTCGGCCTGCCGCTTTGTGGCGGGCAATCTGTCACGAAGAACGGATAGGCGCGGGCTGATGAAGGCTCCCAAATAGCACGTTAAACGGGAGGGGAGCGCCATCATCAGTGGACTTCAACGAACGCAGCGGATCCACTCGCAGTGGGCACAGTAAACTATCTTGCCGGGGAGCTGCGGAGGCCATCCTCTTGCCCTTCCGGGTTATGGTAGACTTCACAAACGGAGGTGGCTTGCCGCCCTGAACGACATGGGTCCTGTAGCATTGCCTCGTGAGATACTCACACCTGTACTCGACGACTTGCTCTCCTTCATCATTCTGCCTTGGGCGGTAGACTGTTTTGCTTTGCATCATGTCTCTTTGCGGACGGAAAACAAAGTTTCTCTGATGCAGCTGCATGATGCTGCATGTCTATGTCAATGTGCCGCAAGCAGACATTTTCACAAGCTCTGCTGCAGCAGTAGGAGCGGCGAGAGATCCAAGTGCGTGTGCGATATGAATATTGTGTAACAACATGTTGTTGAACTGCGAACACAGCAGCCTGTCGAATTTCTTATGTCCTTTCGCGTGGAAACAGATATGCGCGAGCTTCGGGAGCAGATGGCAATGTCTCCCACGCGTTGCTGGGGATACCGTGCGCATGAGCATGAATCTTCACGCCAATTGTGCTACCAGCTGCATGTACGTGACAGAAGCAGTTGTGCAAAGCGTCGCGGACGCAAGGAGCGCGAACGCAGCAATCCACACATATAACTAACTATAACCTTGCACACAGTGGGGACTCCGCGTGTGCTCTCGCAGCAGTTTCCCTGCAAATGATTTATTCACCTGAGGCCTTGCTTGAGCACTCAGCAACACAAGGAGCGTGCATGCAGTGGTCGATCAACATACCTTTGCGCAGTGCGAGGAGCCCACTTAGACCATGCTAACCCTGGCCCAACACGAAATCCTCGATTGAAGCTCCGGGCTTAAAGGCCCCAAAACCTGAAGCATCAAACAACAATGCCCTGAGCCCTCGCCACCATGTAACTCAAGTTTAACAGCGGCCACAGAATTGCCACGTCATGTCGGCAATAAACCGGTTTTTCCTGATAACGCCGCCCTACTTAAGCATCCACTGTTATAGCACCAAATTGGACCAAGTTGTGTGCTATTCCATGGCTGTTGGGGCCTGTTGCTGAATCATGCGCTTCACGCAGAAAAGCATACCTTCAGGAGCAACCGCGTGGGAACGAACCACAAAGATAGCGTCCGATTGGTAAAGTCTGCGCCTTCGCCAACATTGGTGGTGTCTCCACCGTCACTTGCATCCAGGTGGGCAGCTTTCGAAGAGTCACCTTGCAGGTGGCATCAGCTGCTTCCATGTCGACGTCGACGGTACCGTCCTGCTTGGTTGGTGCCGACTGCGCCGCCGTTGGCTTGGACTGGCATAGGCTTACAGCAGTCGGGGGGCCGCCGTTGATGAGCTTGCCGCCTCCTCATAATCGCTCTTTGCCTTGAACTCTTTCTCCTCCTCGAGATTGTCGGCCGTGCACAAGGGTGGACAGGGGAAGATCGCGGTTGGCGGTATGGACGGCAGACATGATACAATCGGGGGAATAGCAGCCCCAGTCAGTGCCTTCGGACTGGTTTACAAAGAACTCGCGTTCGGCTTCTATGGCCTGGACTGCGTCAATTGCAATCTCGATGGGCTGACTTGGCGCATACCCGACTTGCACGCAGCATCCCCGATCCTGACAGATGGGTACCTTCACCTTTGCTGTCACCAGGCTGGTGGTGTCCCGTGCGCCAACAGGCTAAGATGTCTGCCCGCAGTCTCGGCGAACTGGTGATTCGTCTACCGTCCACATCCGATCACATCATCACTCGCGATGCCAAAGATTACGGCCTTCAGGAAGAGACGATGCTCAGGTAGTCAAAGACCTGCCTACGAAGTTTAGATATCATCTACATCGATCCCGTAAAAGACCAGCCGATTCCCAATGTGGAGAAGGCCGAGTGGCATGACTTCACGACGAGAACCACAGGAAGACTGCGTGCACTGAGGTGAATGAGGAGGATTTGCGTTGGGAGGCTCTGGACATCGTTCGATCGGATGATGCCACTGCGGAAAAGGTGTCCGCACGGACGAGCGGCAGCGGCGCGTGGAGCTAGCGTCCCATCGCCGGCACGAGTAGCTTTTGCATTTGACCTTCACCCCGCGTTCATGCCCGTGACAGCTGACTCAATGCCGCCTGCCGCCTGAACGGCAGTCTGAGCATCATTTGGATCGGATTTAATCCTCAGTCTTGCGGCACCGCTTGAACTTGATGAACCCTCGCCCTCAACATCAACCTCGGTGATCTCAGGCTTTTCCCAAACCTGACATTCATGACATTGGGGTTTGAGATAGACGGTCGCGTTCCCGAGCCACCTCTCCGTGGGCTGACAACTGGGGCTTGAAGTTACGCGACTTGTCAACGAAGAACTTTGAACCTTCTCAGCCATACCTTGAGGTCTTGATTGCACTTCTGTGGGACTTGGTTCCATGTGTCAGCAGAGCATACAGTCACTAGAAGGGCATCAGAAGTATGTATGGAGGCAGGTTAAAAAGTACAGGTTCGCGACCCACAACCCCGGTGTGGTTGTTCCGTGACGAGATGGGAGATAACGAAGCGTCATGCAACTGGGAGCCTGTCGTTTGGTATTTACCATGTTTCCTTTGATTCCAGGCCATGAGGGAGGACATCCGGTTCGGAAGCAAAACATGGCAAATCAGCTAACTTACTTCCCGCTTCCAGGTTGTGCGACATAGATTGCGATCATCAAAGATGCAAGTGAACAATCCTGAGGGAAGAGAGAACGAAACCCAACGAGAAGCGCAACTGGAAATTTGCTGCAAGTTCGATGAACCACCACGAATGTCTCAACCACCACGAATGTCTCATGATGTCTTTAGCTTTCATTTAGACATGATGGCTTGTGCACAGACTGCAGACTGTTGAGTGCCTGCAAGGTCGTGGCAAATTGATCTCGAAAACGAAAGTTTTCCTCGCGCTGAAGCCGCGTAGTCGCTTGCGAGCACGGCTTTGAAGGAAGATTGCAAATCTTTGTGCAAAGTCAGAGGACGGGACTGGCTTGATGTCCCGGTGCATCAAGCCTGCACGGCGCAACGAGAGCGAAACGAAGGAGGGGCGCGCATGCGCGCGCTCTTTCAAGGGCTCTGCCACACTGGTGAACGGCTGCGATGGACGAAAGCATCATCCTCTCGTTGAAACGGAACACAAACATAGACTCTCTCTCGCTCTCGCGCTCTGTCCGGCTGATCCGGCTCTCAGCGAGCAGGCTCTCTGCTCGGCTGTTCGCATCGCCGCGCCTGGAGAGGCTCTTGACGTCTTGCAGCTTCAGGTGTCCCACAGCCTCACGAGCTCCGAGTGGCTACGGGTATTGCTGCACGTTCAAAGTTCGCTTCTGAAATGCGCGCACATTGCGAAGGTGCGCCAAAGCTCAAAGTGCCTCCAAGTGCTCCGCCAGATCCGGCCCGAGACACCGACTCATCACCACATACCTACTGACGTGCGGTATGTACGATCTGTTTTTTATCGATACGGATGGCCGAGGCTAGTACAAAGAATCGTTGCTTTGAAGAAACTGATGGTATCGAACGATGTTCGGATGCTGCACTGAAGCAATGCGCCTTGGCCACACATGCTGTTCTGACAGACAGAACGAACCCCTGCCGATAACTTGAAAAAACAGCCCAAGCTTCCTGAGAAGCTGGAGTTTCTCATCATTCGGCAGCTTCGAAGCCTTTCTGGAACACCACTCACTCCCATCACGATACCTTCGCGGTTCAAGCACTTGGCTCGCGCAGCGTGGCGGCCGGTCGTGGCTACGACCTTCACCTTGGCCAGTGCACAGAGGCGCCGCGGCCACGGCTTTGGCCAGAGCTGCGCTTTTGGCTCAAGCTCTCGGCGCAGAGGTCGTCTGCTCGGAAGGGCCGGCAGCAGTAGACCTGCGCATGGCCAAACGAATACAAACATGCCCCGGGTCTTCGAGGCTTCAAGCGAAGCCTTCCCGAAGGTGCCGTGCCCAATCAGCTCACCGATCTGAAAAAATGCCTTCCGAAGTTCTACGCAGCGACGTTAACTGAACACTTCACTTTCGAGAATTGTAAATACCGGCTCCTTCTGGAACTCTTAAAACGTTTCCTTGATAAGCTTCCGACTTACTAGACTGCAAGTTAAATTAAGGTGTTCACATGGTCCAGAGACGATGCCCCTCTTACGTATAAATACATGTCAGCATCAATATGAAGGAATGTTTACAGATAGATAGATAGATAGATATTGAGAAATGTGTCTTTGCTCCATGACGGTCCTTTGCACGAGCAATCACACCAACCGCGAAAAACGATCACCCAGCAAGCGTGCCTCAAAGGTTTGTTCACCTCCCAATGCAACAGAGTAGACTGCAGCATGTCCGTACTCGACTGCAAGACCACCTTCCAAGCGAACGAAGACATCGCCATGTTGCTGCTCGTTTTGCCCTTTCTGCCGCCTTTTCCAGGTGGCTGTAAGGAAATCGGAATTCAAACAGGCTATCCTCGCTCGGGCGAGCACTCACCGCAGCAGGGACATCTCAGCTTCGCCAAACCTTCACGCGAAGGCAATAAGACCACACGCGCTTGCCTTCGAAGCTCCGACCTTCGACGAAGCTCCATCCTCCAGGACTACAAGCTGACAGCCAAAAGCATGCTCAGATCTCCCGGTGCCTCTGTCAGGCTGGCATTCCTCCAAGGCCCGCATGTCAACTGCACTCGACCGACATGCAGAGGAAATCCGAGAAGGTCTCAGATTGCAGCCGAACTGAATTCCGCACAGGGCTCGTATCCCATGTTCGTTCCTGAGTAGAAGATTTTCCAGATGCACGAACACGGGGATGTAGTGCAACAGGTCACTGTCACCGAGGTCACAACTCAGCACACTTCAAAAGGTGCATGCTGAGAAGGATGATGGAACATGGCGCCCTATTCCAAATCTATGAGCTATTCACTTGCTGCGTTGTTTATTCGAACCGCCTTGAGCCTTGAGCCTGCATCTTCGCCCCTGAGGCGCACTTGAGCAAGAGACTTCAAACAAAAGAATGAAGTGCGAAACATTGCCGATTTCGTAGCTACACAGGTAGAACTGTCAGCTTTTTATTGAGCTCCGCTGAGTTGATGCAAAACCCCTTCGTCTTGCCACGGGCAAAAGAAGAGTGCAACTTGACTTTGTTGCTTTGCATCCAGCCGCATACTGCAAAGCACCTGAGAAGCCGTAACTCCTGTGCAACGAGATGAAGGGCCGCCCTGCCGCCCCAATTGGAGCTTTGGGCTCAGTCGGCGAGAGGCTTAAGCCACCTTTCGCGAGCCGTGAGGAAAGGCTGCCGACATCATCGGGTCCGGCCTCTTTTCTCGCTGTTCTCACCACCTGGTGTCGAGCTGCCGAAAGCTGACTGACCTGTACGAGCGAACTCGCCTTCTCCGCGTCTTCGCAACTTCGTCGGCTGCTTCATCCAGCCTGTTGCTGCTGTTGCCCCCGGGGGCGACAGGCAAGGTGCAATCAGTCAGTGTTTGTGCGTGCGTGCGTGTGTGTTTGTGTGTGTGTGTGGAAATCCTGTATCTAAGCACTTTGAATTGTATAAATGGTTTTCTCTCAAAGATAATTATGTACTCCCGTACACATTTTGGATAGATGCAAAAGAAAAGCAGGGGGCCGCAGGCCTACCATCGGAGCTGCGGCCAACGAAGACCTCCGATGGTAGGTGTGAAAACGTGCCTGCGGAGCAAACGATCTGAACGAGTGATAGCCTTGGTGGGACTTGAGGCTCATATAAAGTTTGGACGTCTTGTACTGCATCTAGATCTCATCATCTTGATCTTCCAAGTCACAAGGTTTCCAAAGGCTCCATTAGTCAGTGTCAACGTAGCACAATAGAACAATGAAAATAATTGAGGAAAGGAGAAATGAGAAGGCAGGAAACAACCGGCACCGACCGGATTTGCAAGTGTGTATTTCGGCTGGTAATTCTGACAAAAGGCCAGTCGTGAAGGATGCATCGCATCCCCTCCCAAGCATACCCGACATGAAATTTGATCACATTCTGGTATTAGACCAGACTTGTCCCAAGCAGACCCAACGTTCTTTAAAGGCTAACGCAATCCCAGGTACAC